CGGAAGTGGAGATCTCCAAATCAAACGAACAATCACTGAGTATTTTCACAAAGCCTTTGGTTTGGATATTTGATATTCGAGTCTCCTAAGATATCACCCAAGTCTCTTTTTTATAATTCTAAAAGTCCAACAAGGCTTGAAAGTCCTTAAAGGGGTTAAAAACCTTAAAAGTCCCAAAAAAAAACACGAAAAATCACTATGTAGTGTGCTCTATAGCGGGTTTTAGTGCATTAATTTCAATTAGCAGCGTGCTATGGTGGGCTCTAGCGTGCTATTACGAGCTAATTCTAGTGAGCCACGGGTTACGGCATGCCCAAGCGCGCTATAGTGCATTGTTATAGTACTGCTAAGTAATACTTTTTTTTTCCTTTTTTTACAAAACCCATTTGTTTTCAAAATCACAAATGGGCACTCACCAACCCCAAACCCCTCAAAGATCCTCCCAAATCATACTTTCCCTTTATTATTGAGAACCAACTCCTAATGGTTCTTAACTCTGATAGTACGAGTAATGGATTGGTTCAGAACTCGTGGTGAGTCATCCACAATGTTGGGTTTGTGAACCTTGCATTTTCGCTAGGTTTTGGACTTTTTCCCTTGTCTCTTTTGATTTGTGCGCTAGTTTCGACTCATCTTTACTACAAATGGATTCTTGCGGTTGGACTACTATTGTGAGACACTTTTACTTTGGATTGGCTACCACCATCTTCCTGGCTTGTTTTGAAGCATCCCTGCATATGATAAGTGTCTTATTATCCTTTTTGAGATGATACTTCTGTTTTCATAAGTGGTAGATGGCATCTCTCTCCTATAGGTAAGGGCTGTCAAGCATGATGTGACATATGTTGATCAGTCCCATCTCGCATACCACTTCTTCAATGTACTATTTTGTGATAGCAAAGTAGATCTTGCATCGCCATTCAACTTCTCTATTCGCATCATCATGGATCCACCCTAAGCTATAAAGGCAAAGGTGCGGCGACGTCGTCTCCAAACCTAATCTCCCTATAAAACTTTCAAAGATTAGGTTTTTCTCGCATCTTGTGCTGAAGATTGTGCCGATGACCTCATTTTTCACCTATACTCACACGGTGAATAACTTTTCCTTGACTTTGGTCGGTGGTGATGATCTCGGGTTTGTTCCTTTCAGCTAGACCATCAAGGACAAATTTAAGTCCATGTCAACCATGTGCCCTACCCTCATGGCATCTTTGATTGTAACTGTGGCTATGATCTGCTTTTTATGGTCCTTCCTCTTTGGTGCCAACTTCAAATGAAGCTTCCAACAGTCCAATTCATCATGTCCAGATTTCTAACAATGACCACAAATTTTATTAGATTTAAAAGGGCTAGAAATTTAATTACCCTTCTCATTTTTGAAATTGGGTTCATTGTCTACCATAACTCAATTTTTCCACTTAATACCTGTGGTGGTTTTGTTGGCTTCAATTAAATCATGGACTGGGAATAGACTGAGTTATGCTCGTATCCTCTTTTGAAGTGCATAAATATATTTTGTACATGTGGCTAGATCCCACAATGATACCTCAAGCGTCACCGCTTGCTTCTGAAACTCAATGATATAAGCCTGTACACTCTGATCCTTCTTTTGATGGTGTCTGTGCTATTGATACCAACGTTTTTTTAAATAGCCCATGGGATAAAATTTTTGGCAGATGAATCGCTTGAACTGCTTCCAAGTAAAACTCTTGATCTCCCCGATCCTAACCATTACCTTCCAGCAAGCTTTAGTATGCTCGGTCATCTTAAGAGGTGTGTAGGCTACTTTCTGGGCATTGAAAAAATTTTGCAATGTAAAATAGGTCTCTAATTGATCAAGCCAAGAATCTAACTTTTCAGGACCAATTGAACCATCATATACTTGTATTTCCACATTTGCTTCAATGTTGAACAACCCTCGGTCCAAATGGATGGTCCCTGTATCCTCATCCTTATCATTATCTTGTTCATCAATATCGAGGTAAATAGGTGTATGAGGTACTCGCTCCCTATTAGAAACTGAAGTTCTAGTCGTCCCTCCTTGCTTTAGAGGCATGTTCATCTGGGTTTGGATTCAGGTGAGAATGGAAGTCACATCGTTGGATAACTTCTCACCCTTCTCAAGATTAGGGTTTGTCGAGACTGAACCCTAGTTGTTGCTGTTGAAAGCCATGAAATTGGTAGATTTTTTACTAGGTTAGCAATGGATTTGTAACACCGACAACAATTCTCCGGTAGCCTTGCAACCAGATTTGGTGTGTACCATCCAAAGGTAAGGAACGACACTCTGATACCAAAATGTGATCAATAATTTTCTCAGAATGCCAAATAATGCCTAAAAAATGGATTACCAAATAATAATCAAAAATCCAAATCTAATCAACAATAAGAATAAAGAAAAACTGATTTATAAGCCAATATGTAAACTAAAAGTGCTTTACAACTTGAAATTAGAAAAATTTATCTAAACCTTAGCAAGACTTCAAAAAAACCAAACTGTCCCCCCTCAAGCCTTAATCCCAAACTGTTGGAATCACCTACTCTTCACTATTGAAAGTGAAGATCTCCAAATCAAACAAAAGATTGCTAAGTATTTTCACAAAGCCTTTGGTTTGGATCTTCAATATTTGAGTCTCCTAAGATGTCATCCAAGTCTCCTGTTATAGCCCTAAGAGTTCAAGAGGGTTTAAGAGTTCTTAGAGCAGTTGAAAACCTTAAAAATCTTGAAAAAAAAATATGAAAAATTGCTTTACGACATGCTGTAGTGGGCTTTGGCATGCTATAACATTAGTTCCAAAGAGTAGCGTACTATGACAAGCTCCAGCATGTTATGACAAGCTAATTCCAGCGTAGTGCACTCTAACGTACTGCTATAGTAACTTTTTTTCTTTTTTATTTTTTTTATAAAACTTATTTATTTTTAAACCCTCAAATAAGCACTCACTAAACTTAAATCCTTCAAAAATTCTCCAGAATCATGTGGTTCATGAGTTGATCTAGAAGGATCTATTCTATCATGCACATAGGAGTGTCAATTGTGTGGGAGTATGTGCCAGGTTTAGTGCTAGATGTGAGTTTGAAAAGTCAAATGAAAAAAAAAAAATGCAAAATAAGGAGAAAAGTGAACTTCCAGTGCCCATAGAGTGCGGGCTCTAGTAGCTAGAGCACTATGGTATGCCAGATCTAGTCCAGTGCACTACATCAGATTTTTTTCATGATCTTCCGTGATTTTTAAGGTTTTCTCACCCTCAAAAGTCCCCCACACCCTTTTGAACACCACCAAATCATTTAAGATTCATCCAAACTTCCTACAAAGTCAAGAATTCTTTAAACTCTTGGAGATTTGCTTCTAACAAAGTTGTGCAAACCCTTTAACTGATTCCAATAGTTCTTAATAGAGATTTGAAGAGTTCAGGCAAGTATAGAGCTTAAGAAGATCCTCATTCATTTCGGATACCAGGAATTGCCTATTATTAATGAGTATAAGAATTTTTGTCATTTAAATTCTTCGGGTATCAGGAATTGTCTGTTATTAATGAATATAAGAATTTTTATCATTTAAATCTCTCGAGATTAAGTGGTCGACATAAAAAAAAAAATTTAATTTATAATTAGAGTTCTTATTTAAAAGATATTTAAATTTTTTTTGAAATTAATTTTAAAAACTTTTTTGACTGTATTAATTAATTGATTATTTTAGTTTTACCCTACGTGTATTCTTTTTTGAGATTGAATTGTGGTGTGATTTTGTATTACTTTACAAACGGCCTCAACAAATTCTTGTGGCCATGATTTAAACTTTTTTGCTCCATTTTTAATGTAAAAGCACTCAAACCACTCCACTTGTCTAAATAATGCCATATGCCGCTATTACATTACATCATTTTTCACATTTTAAGAACAATTTTAATTTTTTTTCCTGGAATTGTATTTATAACTTAATTATGATAATTTATTAATTAATTGTATAATTAAATTAAGGAGTTGATATATTTTACGCTTGAAATGCACGTAACGCCGAGTTCCGATATTTCTGGAGAGATTGTTCAAATTTTAAAAATATATAAATTTAAATAATTAGTTTAATAATCCACCTCAGCCGAACGAAACCCTTGTACAGGAAGAATAGGAAACCAAGTAAAAGAGGCAACTCGCTCATCCACGAAATGGTCAACCCAAGTCCAAAAGACCACTCCACCATCTGTTTTTGTACTGATTGATCTGACATCAATGGGTAGGGAGCATATTTCCACCACTAGAGCAATATTTTTGATGTAAAAAATATTATTAATTTAACTTCAAGCAATTTTGCAAATCTGAATATCTTTAAAAGATCTAGGATTAATTTCATTAGTTAAACTCCTAAACTACAAAATATAATTTGTCTCCAAATTTTAACGAGCCATTGTATTCATTGTTTAAATTTCGTTGATATGAGCAAAATGCGAACTGCATCTGATAGACATGTAAACCTTAAATTTTTAGCACAAAAATGCTTTTACCCTCTATATCACACTCATAAACCCTACTTCTACCTCTAACCCCCACTCCTCCTCTACCACCCAATTCATCACCAGCCACCACCTCCTAAAATTCACGATTGCTCGATCCACTGCCTATTTCCAATGCTATTGGCAAACCTAGCATCAAAACTGCCATGTCTCCCCCCCCCCCCCCCCCCCTCTTCCTCGACTTTGAACCCCCTCAGACCCTCTCCTTACATAGACATCAGAAGTGATGTTGTTCGGTTCCTTAAACCCTATTTGATTGCATTCTCTATGAGGACAAGTATGACCCCAAAACTATTCCCAACTTCCCCCCTCAACCTCTCCCCCTACATCGCCTTCCCCACTTGCAAGTCAAAGTCATGCTCTATCATCCACTCCTCCCTACCTTCCTCTAACCTTTGCACCACTGCCAAGTGCTCGCTTGAGTCAATTGAAATCACCATTCTATTGTGACACCATGCTCACCTTCACATTCAAGCAATTTCCACCACCATGAAGGATGTGTCGTCGAACAAAATTGTCAGTGTCATTGGTGAATTAGCGAAATCAATTGGAGCTAAAGGATTAATTGTAGGCCAAATGGTCAACATATGCTCCAAAAGAATCTCAGATGTTGGATTGGAACACCTTGAGTTCATTCACCACTACAAAACGGTGGCCTTGCTAGAGGGTGTTGCGGTTCTAAGGACTATTTTGGGAGGTGGGTTTGATAAAGAAGTTGAGAAATTAATAAAGTTCATGAGGTGCATTGTGTTATTGTTTCAAGTTGTGGATGATATTCCTGATATGACCAAGTCATCGCAGACTTTGGGAAAGATGACAGGGAAGGATTTGGTGGCTGATAGGGTTACATACACAAAATTGATTGGAATCGAGAAGTCCAAAGAGTTTTATCAAAAATTGAATATATAGCTTATAGAGATGATTAATATGCTATCAACAATTTTGTTGCCCTGTTTAAGGAATGGCATTTTAGGGATTTTTCCCAATATGTGAGAGTAGTTTTAGTAAATTGTAATTTCGCACGTTGGTCAAGGATGTATACATCAATTCATTGTGTTGCCTAGCTTGACCGTTAAATGTAACATTGATCATTAAATCTAAGGGGCAAATGATGTTTTTTCTAATTGAGAGATTTAACTAATGAATTCATCATAGTTCTAGAAGTTTAATGGAACTAACCTGAAAATTTAACATGTTAAATGTGAAATTCGAAAATAGGTTCACAATTTTTTTCAATGTTTTTATATTGATCCACCAACATCTATTGATTTTCTAACTTATTCTTTAAATTCATTGAGATTATCTTATCTAAATGTATTGTAATGCAAATACTTCAATTTTTAAATCATATAAAAGTAGGACAAGCCAAGCTTATAAAGGCATTGTACATGAAGTTTGTAAATTTTGAATAAGTGTGATTAGCATCTCCATTTGTATGAAATTAATTATTATAATTAAATTGAAAATCGGTTTTTCTCATGCATAGTGATTTATGTTATTAGGAGTGTGCAAATTAAAAGTTTGGTTTGATTTTTTATAACTAGGTTTGACTTTTTTTTTAATTAATAAAAATCTTTTTACTAATTTTGAAGTTCCTATTCACATTAATTTTCCTCTGAAATTAATTTCTTGTGACATTAATAGAATAATAAGTATTCAATATTCTTTTTTTTTATAATTCTTGCCAACGAGCCTAGGCTAGAGACTATGGGGCCTCGGGTCCTATTAAACTTCATGCCTCTCAATCATATAAACTTATCAATTTGATGTAACATCCCTATTAAAAAAAAAAAAAAAGGAAGAACACTGATGTAACCTTGATATATCTCCGAGGGACTTGAGCAGCATCTTCTCTTTACCTTGTACATGATTCACCCCCATTTTCTCAGTGTAGTAACAATAATTGAAGTCCATAGATCCAAAACAATATGATGAAGATGTCTACATCGTTCCTTGTACTTGTGTATTATACATCGATTATGTATTTTTGAAAATTTAAATCATTTATTCTTTTTCAATAAATAATCCACATCCGCTTACATTTGCAATGTCAATTTCAATTTCAAGTTATTTATTGAAAGATTATTAAATATGTTTAATTGCATAAAAAATAAGAGAAACAAAATCGTCTGCCCATCCATGTAGGATAGCACTATCCATGGTTCAAGAAACAGATTGGGTTGGAACCAAACCGTCAATTCCGATCCTTAAAAATCATGAACCAAGATTGAAACCATAAAAATCGATCTGGTCCCATTTCAGAATCTTCACAGTTTTAAGTCGGTTTTATGGTTTCAGGCCTAAAGCAATCTAGTTAAATTCCTAGATTGGGCTAAGAAAAGGAAAAAAAAATTGGGGTTGAAGGAGATGAGAGATGATCTCCATCTTCGATCAATCTCTCGAGAAGAACATCCTTCACCAAGAGCTAAGGACTCTGATCTCCTTTTGCAGAAGGAGATCAAGGCTCTCCTCTTGTAGAGCGATCGAAGAACTCCTTCTGTGGAAGGAGATTGCTCCTTCAATCTCTTTTTACAAAAGGAGATATGAGTCCTCTGTGAAGGAGGACCAATCTCCTTCTACAAAAGGAGATCTTTGATCTCCATTCTCCAATTGCGAAGGAGCCCTTGTGAATTTGAACTTCTTGTTCAAAAGAGAGGGAGGTAGAAAGAGAATGGAAGAGAGAAGGGAGAGTTGAAGAAAGGGAGAGAGCAAGAACAGGAATCTTGTTCACGGACTCTAGTCTCCTTTTGCAAAAGCAGGGACCAATCTCCTTTTGTAGAATGAGATCTTTGGTCTCTGATCTCTGATTGCAAAGGCCTTCATGAATGTAAACTTGTTAGCTCAAAGAAGAAGGAGAGGGGGACGTAAAGAGAAGGGGGAAATAGGAAGAGCAAGAAGTTGCAAAACAAACCCTTGTGCTATTTGAGAAGAAACCCTTGCATAGATTGCAGAAGAAATTGCATAAGCCTACAGAGCCTTGGAGAGAGGGGGAGAGAGAGAGAGAAGTCCAAGTTCATTTGTAGAACTTTAATCTAGAAGGTATTTGGTTTGGTTCTTATAATTTTTTACGATTCAATTTCATGGTTCAATTCAATCTCAGTTCTCTGGTTATTTGACGATTTTGGTTCCCATTCTAGTCTCAAATAAGATTACATAAATTATAATTTTTAATCGAATCGGTAAAAAAAAAAAATTCAGAACCAGACTGGACAGAAATTTGGCAGTCTGCTTCAATCCCATTTTCTGACAATCTAATTTTCAGTCCACACCGGAACCATGGACAGGATTAATGTAGGGTGCAAATATGATGCAGCACTGTATCGTTCTCCTCTCCCTTATCCATCAAATCAAACAATTGCACGAAACAACATTATTGTCAAACTGTCGGCTAATTTAAAGATGACAATTGTAACTATCGAGTGTTGAAGACTGGGGAGCCAAAAGAGAAAGCATATGTGGTGATCAGTCATGGAGAAGAAATAAAATAAAAGAATATTGAGTGGATGACAACGGTCAAGAGAAGGACATAAAGTTAATGTGAGGGTTGATCTTATAATCAAACAATCATAATGACACCCCCCCCCCCCCCCCCCCACAATCCCATCAACTAAGAAGCCTAGCTTTCAAAGATACTAGGAATAAAAGATCTTAGCGATGCTGACACTCATCCACTAGCAAATAATTGTTGTGTTTGGTCAGATTTTAAGATTGTAATATTTTTCGGATTTTAGAAATCATTTAAATAAATAAATCTCTAAATTTTAAAATTCCTCAGAATTTCTAATAATTAAACTGATGAAGGAGAAAGTGACTACAGAGCCAGCAAAGATGCGGTAATTCACTAGGTTGAAATTAATAAAGAAGAGAGGATTCTTGTGACGAAGCTATCCTTATCTTTAAGTCATTGTCCCTATACTTCGTCCTAAAGTGGTAGGCTGCAAATCATTTGGGTGTGGGCTCCTCTGAAGATCTATTCGCGGGGCTTCCTATTTGGAATTTTCCAAGATTGTCCCAATTATTCTTCCGCTCATGAACAAGTTATTCCACATGATATGGTACTCGAGTGTGCGCGTGCTCCGCTGGGAAAACACTTGCAAAATTCAATGTTATTTTAATCTCTATATTTTTAATTTGCACCCTTAAATGTTTGTATTCTCAGTATAGTACCAATATAATTTTTATTATGTGCAAATACATCTCTGATGGATGGAGGTGGGCTTGTTATTTCTATCCATACATATCATGTGATTAATATTAAGGTGCCAAAATGGAATGGGAAACCAAATGGACCAAGTCTAAACAAGTAAGCTTTAGCAAAGTAATGATCTAACCATTTGACTCTTAACACCCGTGGACACAAATTTTGAAACGTTTCTAAAGCCAACAAGTCTTGAATTGTGAAATTGTGAGTGAAGTTGGTCAATTTAACTAAAGCTTTTTTCCTTTTCACTTGTACTTTTGGGTCGGTGGAGGATTGGAGCAAGATTCAAAAAGTTGGAAACTTGCGCTGAAAATGAACTTTCAAACCACAGAGCCACCTTTGGAGACCGTGAAATAGCTACTAGTGATATTTGCTCAAGCCTCTTTTGGGATTATTTTCGCCCTTTGTTTTACACTCCTTTGTTGGTATTTTTTTCATTCAAGTTTCCTGTAAAGTGGTGAAAATCACACATCCATTCATATCTAGATGCGCTAGTTGTTTCTTGTTTTTTATAATATCTACTTCTTTTTAATGTTACAGGTATGTATCTATTTCATCAGGTCTCATTTCATGTTGATCATTGATTACCCTTGTTGTACTTTGTGTGTTCTTCCAGCCTCCTTATATTGACTAATCAAATATGATCACACTCAATTCAAATTTGAGATTTAGAAGTTAATAAAGTGAAACAACTTTTTTACGAGAAAATATTCGGTACGACTTTGATGTTACATTATTATTATTATTATATCTCATTTTTCAATAACTCTACTCATATGAGGTGGGCCTTTACGAGTGACAGATTATAAAAGATATGAAAAGTACTAGTCCTAAAATAATATCTTAATTTCAAAATATATCTAATTTATCTAAAACTTAATAACTATCTGATAATAGCTATTTCAATTGATCCAAGTTAGGAAGGCAAATAATAATATTCAATAGTAAAATTAAAGTAGTAAAGATATGTAATTTTTTGCAGTACAGAAATTTACAAAGATAATAAATAAAAAATGTATGACAAAATTGTGAGAGCAAGGCTACTTCTTGCAACATTTTAAACTTTTTTAAAGGCCATTTTCTATATAATTTCTAATTATACTTAATTTGACTTAATATAAAAATATAATGATTATAAATAAAGAATTGTCAAAGTGCACCACAAGATCCTTTCTCTTTTTCACAACAAAATATTCGGCACAATTCTAATGTTACATCATATAATTGCGTAACATAATTTTCTTATTTTTGAATCTCTAGAGGAATGAGGCGGACCTTTGTGAGTTACACAATCATTCAACATTATGTACATTTATATATTATCCATACTTATTTTCTAAATAAAATTTTTATTATAGTCGAAAATGGTCTCCCGGAGTTCTGTGCTTTGTTTGGAGATCCTGTGATTTTTTAAGAAGAGGAAAGGAAAGGAAAACTTCAAAAGATATATAAATATATTTCGAAAACAGAAGAATGAAATTTCATTCAAAAAATCCCAAGGCAAGAGATGAATTTGCACGATTAATGATATTTTGGGATTATGTAGAAGTACTCTAAAAATTCAGGACCCATCTGAAAATAACCAAACCCGCACTCGAAATCTCTTCAACTGCAAACGCCCAAACTATACCCTCTACGACCAGTGGAATCCTATCAAACAGAAGACATATCGACCTCTAATGGCAGACCGTTGGATATCGATTTCCAA